CACCAGGTTTGGCGCTCAAGGTCAAGCGGCAAACCTCGTTGATCGACGAGCAGTTCACACCCAGAGAGAGGAGTTGCGCCACCGTGTTGCCATCGTTGGTGGAGGCGGCTTGGTGCAAGGCGGTGGCGAAGTTCAGGGATGAAGCACGTTGACTCTGCATCACAGGCTCACGTTTTCAGTCAAACAATCTATGGATCTCCCACCGTGTCGACAAGGTCGACGGACGCGCCCGCTTGGTGCAGCGCGAGGGCTGCCTGCAGGTTGTCAGTGCTGATCGCGACGGCGAGAGCGGTGCGGCCAGTCTATCGCACCAGTGACGACATGAGTGGCCGACTGTACGATATGGTATGTACCGCGTCTTTCGTATCGAGTTGGAGGTCGGGTTTTTGGAGCAACGCTTGGAGTAGCGGCAGATCCTGTGTTGCCACAACCAGGTGCAGCAGCGGTGTCCCAAACTAGAAGCATTGACGCTCCCATCGATGACAATATTCTGTGAAAAAGACATGCGTACCCAGTCGCGGAGGTTGGCGTGAACCGGATTGCTTTCGAGAACGCGCGTGGCTTCGGGAAAGCGCTGGTTGTGCAGTGCGTCCAAGAGCTACGACACGACACGAGATCTTCGATTCGACCCTGAAAGTCATGTAGATGGACGACGATATACCTGATTTAATATGCGAGGGTAGACGCGCAAAGCCTTTGCAACGTCTTCATGGTAACTAATCCCCGCATGGCTGGTTCCTGATGCGACCTCGAGCGGTGTTTTGAGATCCTAGAGAAAACACGTGTGCTTTGCGGAGCACGCTATATGCGAGGTACGTACGTTGTTTCTCGCGTTGATGTTGGCGCCTTTTTCCAAGAGGAGACGGGCAGTAATTGGATGATCGTTTTGTGCGGCATGGTGCAGTGGTGTATTGGCCTTCTACGTCATAATAGACGCTGGACATCAACGGTATTCAAAATCAAAGCGTACCGCATCGAGGGCTTCCAACATGGCGCCTTGCTCCAGCAAGAGGCAGACGACGTCCACACGACCCTTCAAAGCAGCTTGGTGCAATGGCATCGAACCGCTCTACACAAAAGTTGCATTTGATCGAGCTAAAAACAGTGTCTTGATGCACCAATCCTACCGAATCGCGCGCATCCAGAGAAGCACCTTTTTCAAGCAAGAGGCGGGCAACGTCCATATACCCTCTGAAAGCAGCTCGGTGCAATGTCGTCGAACCAATCTAGACAGCAGGGACATTTCATAAGCCAGACGAAGCATCCGATCACGTCGAGACACAAAGCATACCTCGTCACACGCATCCAAGTTAGCGCCGTGTTCAAACAAGAAGCGGACGACGGCCAGACGATCATTCTCGACAGCTCTGAGCAGTGGCGTCGACCCACTCTAGATAGAGGTTGTATCAATTCAAGCCTGATGTAGCACGCTCGGGCGACGATATCCATATCCTACCAAATCACGTGCTTCCAAGTCGGCGGCGTGTTCCAACAAGAAGCGAACGACTTGCAAGCGACCACTGATAGCAGCTTTGTGCAATGGCGTCGAGCCAGTCTAGACAGTCGTTGCATCACAATAAGCAAAGGAAGCTCCCAGCTTGATGTCCTACCGCATCGCAGGCTTGCAGGTTGGCGCCTTTTTCAAGCAAGAGGCAAACGACGTGCACATGGCCCCGGCCCGAAGCTATGAGCAACGGCGTCGAGCCAGTCTAGCCAGTCGTGCATCACTGTGAGCAAAGCAACTCGACGCTTGATGTTCTACCACATCGCGCGCTTCCAGGTTGGCGCCATTTTCAAGCAAGTGGCAAACGACGTCCAATAGACCGATTCCTATCGCTTGGTGCAATGGCGTCGACCCTTTCTACTTGAGAGCATTATGATCTGCACAGTTGGTGTTTCATTCACGTACCTTGTCTGCGCAGTTGATCGGAACGCCTTTGTTGAGATAGGAGACGACGTCGGCCAACGCGCCACGCTCTGCAGCTTGGAGAAGCGCTTCCTACACGGCGCCTGAGCACCGCAGGTCGCTCCGTCGCTGTACCTCGTCTCTCGTTCGCATTGTCCGTCGCCGCTGGTTTGGAAACTAAAATGGTGCAAAATGGCTCGCGTCCCATCGCTCCATTTTGATTGGCGCGTCCGTCTACAATCCACGGCACGGTATCCGGATGAGTGGCATGTAACGCAGTGCCGACAGTCTACTGCCGACGGTTTTTCATGGTTTACCCAACAACTTTGTCTGCCAGCACTCTCACTTCCCAACACCCAAGACTGACTGCAACAGCAAGCCGTGCTCCGTTATTTATCTCTGGTCGAGCTTCGCGCCTGCGTCTGGCTCAACGTCTGGCGAATCCGGAACGATCGCGTCCTCACGACCTAGAAATGTACCACTGTCAAGTCCCTGGGCGATTGCCGTTAAGGCGGCTCACACAACAGCACCTGCACCCAGCCTCGTTCAAGAACCCTCAGGAGCAGATTGATCTTTTTGGCTTCCCTGGCACCTCGTACGACTCGAAGTGTGTCGCTCGCGCCAGTCGCCGTCTGTCGGGTGGCGTAGCGCTGGACCTGGAGGATCGACACGGCGAAGGGCTCGAGCTCGAGGCGGAGGAAGAGCGAGTACATGGCGCGGGCTGCGTGCACGAACCGGCTCCGAGCGACGTAAAAGCTGTAGAGGAGACGGTACAAGGCCGACGCGCTCTGCGACGACTTGGCCGGCGACACGTGCGCGTGGGTGTTGGCGGCTTGCCACAGCAGCAGCTCTTCGACTTGCGCTTCAAACGCGCCCCAGCTCCGACTCAGTCACCTCCGTCGACGCGGCCAGCGTCACAGAGCTGCACGACGCAGTCGCTGTAGAGCACACGAGCTTTGTGTTAGATCGTCATCTGGAAGAGACCATCGGTGCCTTGTCGAGTGATGCGCTGGTAGCTTGCCACGTCATCGAGACAAGAGAGGCCAAGGACCTGCGTCCATGCGCGCATCGAGGTCGCGATGATCTTGCGCGGCTGCGGCCAGCCATATCGTCTCCTGGTTCTACGCAGTAGTTGCATGAGCCATTCCGTAGAGTTTATTGGAGATGGATGACCGATTCCGCCAAGAACCGTCGATACCACGTCCTCTCGCGCGAGCACGTGCATGTCCCGACGCGCCTTGTCGCAGGCCGTGCACGCTGTAAAGTTGGCGCCACCTTCTGGCACGCACGTTACGATGGCGACAAGCGTCGATGCATTAAGCCATGACCTCTAGCCCGAATGCCATCGTCATGCCATGAAGACGCCGACCACGGACGAGGTCAGGCGGCGAGCAATCGCTGTCGACGCTGTCGCAGAGCATCACCCACTGTCGCATCGCCACGACCTTTCGCAGCGTACAGGTCGCCGTACGCCGCAGCCATGCGCCTTGGCTTCCTCCCGCAGGTCGACCTCCATCAAGCCGCGGCTGGCGCTGGTGTGAAGCCTTGATGTGGAAAAATGATTCGCCGCTTTTGATTGGTCGAAAAGATGACCAAATGTCGTCAACAACCGGACATGTATCCGGACAAATGGAATCTCCACAAGTATCGGCACATGCCGAATCGATTGGCATATCCGGACGGCATTCCGCACGGAGGTGCCACACCGAAACGAGCAAGCGGCAGAGCCAAGCGGCAGCCAGGACGACGGCGCTGCAGTCGCCTTGCCCAGCACAGCCAGCACGATGCGACTGAAATGACGTGGAAGCGACTTGCTTTGACCAACGCGATGCCATCCCATGGTCTCGGAAAGGCGGGTCATCTGGCTGGCGCATTGGGCTCAGACCTCGGCTAGTACGTCGCATGGAACAGGGTGATCCGATGTCTTTAGACAGGTTGGTAGTACGCAGGAGACAGAGTACATAGCGATCGTCCAGCGTCGGCGATGGCAGCCATATTTGGTGATTCGTACCAAGGGCCGAAACAGGTAGGAGGCCATTGCCATCCGCAGAGCAACGTTGGACGACGTGTAGCTTGCGAGATTGCGATCGTCGCGTGAGGCGTCTTGATAGTTTCAAGCGTGCAGTCTGTAGCGACAAGACATAAGTCCATCGAAGCGTCTGCAAAGCACTTGGCCCATGGACATAGTACGACACTGGCGCTTGGTGCATGCCAAGCAACATCGAGTACGAGGCAGATCGCCAAGGCAGCGACCTACGCTCCATACTAGCCTAGGACAAACGCGCCGTGACCGAAGCAGCTTGGTTCGTTGCGGGAGATAAATCATCGACCTCGCTTCGAGTTTGTCCCATCAGGTCCTTCTAATCGTGTCCGTATTGTTGCATGTGCCAACGACGACTGCATCGCGATGGCGGGATCCAAGAGCTTAATGGGATGGACTGGCGCCGTCTGCCCGGGACGGTTCCCCGGGGCACAACAAAAGTGGAGCCCAGGCACGGACCACGAGCGCTTCCTTGCGGCGCGGTAGACGTTTGGTGCAACGGCCCGCAGTTGCGATGGACCAGGAACGCCTCCTGCAGACCGCACGACGAGCTGCTTGATGGCAATCGCCTTGTTGAGACTCAGTGCGCATCCAGCTGCTGCGTTGACCATGCTACCTGCGCGGCCAATCTCGCGCCGTTTACGACATGAATGTATTGTCCACACCAATGTGCATCGACTAGATACCGTTGTTTGGATCATCACCCCTGAATGTACAGGCTTGGGATGCTAATAGAGAGAAAAAGCCAGCAGTCGTCCCTCGTAGGGGTAGGTCTCTTCAATCGGCATTTGGATGTACAAGCTGTCAAGAGTGTCCACTCAAAAGCACTCTTTTCGTTTGGTTGAGCCGTTGTGGACGGTGTCTCGAAATTTCGAGATGCAGAGCAACCACGCGGCGTCGACCTTCAATGGTCTCTAGTACAGTCGATCTGGATAACGCACTAACCCCGATACAGTTGTGAAGCGATTTTGGACACTTGTACTGAACGATTAAGACAAAATGTCGTGCAAACGTGTAGTACGATTCAAAATACAAAAAGTCAGCAGCGTTGCTCTACGGCTCTTCGTTGATCGACTCGAGCTTACCCGTCGGCGTCGTCGGTGGGCGGTCGAGGGGGTCGGGCGTGAGGTCGTCGTCATCATCATCAAACGCGTCATCGACCTCGGGCTCGTCAAGGCGCTTGGCGAGGTACTTGACAATCTGCTTGGCCGTCGGGCGCGTCGATGGCTCAGGCGCCCAGCAGGCCGTCGCGAGCTTCCGGAGCCAGCGCGGGCAGTCTTGGCCGAGATCTGGACGCAGACCGTTGTCGCGAATCTTCTGCACGAGGTTTCTGTCGTCTAGAAGCGTGTCGTACGGCTCGTTGTCTGTCGCCAACTCGGACAAGACGATGCCAAACGAGTAAATGTCGGCCGCCGTCCCATACGCTTGTACTTCGTCGGTACCAGTCGACGAGGCGCGAAGCACTTCGGGGGCCGTCCAGCGCTGCGTGCCAGCGTCGATCGTCATGTTGGGCTCCACGGCCCGGGCCGTGCCAAAGTCGCCGAGCTTGACGCCATGGATGGACGAGATGAAGATGTTCATGCTCTTGACGTCGCGGTGCACCTTGCCGAGGCTGTGGATGACGTCGAGTGCGTTCGCAGTTGACCACGCCACTTGCATTGGCGTGATCTCAATTTCCACATGCTTGCCCTTGCCCTTGTTGACGTGGTACTGGAAGACGTCGCCTTGGTCCATGAACTCGAGCACCATCTGCGGGTCTGTGGACGCATAGTCGACAGCAGCCAAAATCGCCACGACGTGCGGCGACCGACACCTAGCCCCATGTATATATAGTTGCTAAAAGAAGTCGATGCTCGTACGCCTCCGTGTTGTCGATCTCTTCTCGCATCGCCTTGGCCTCGCGCACCATGCCGCGCAATGTTTCTTCAACGCGACGCCGCGGCCTTGGTACGTTGCAAGGACAACGGCACCGCCAGTGCCGTTGCCCAAAGGTTTCTCGACCGGTGTGACGTCGGCCTTCGAGATCTACGGTGCGTGCACTTTACTGTTAGAAAAGACTGCACTTGGTACAAGATTTATACCCGGGCCGCTTCCGGATACACGTGGTCGTTGAGGCACATGGCAATGCCTTGGTCGCGACGGCGGGCGGCTGCCGCCACAATGGACAAGTTTTGTCCATCCTACATGGTGCCTTCGGTCTATTGTATACTCGATGAATTGAGGTACCTGGAACCGCAGCGTGGCATCCGCACCGGCATGTACGAGTTGCTCCACAAGGTCGGCACGCTGGGCGAGGACGGCCCGAGCAAGCGCCGTATACCCCTCCTAGATCAGTCAGCGTTGCAGAAGTCTATAAGTCGGATATCAACGCGTACCTGGTCGGTTTGGTCGATCGTAATGCTTGGCGACGTCAACAAGATCTGGAGCATGTCAGCACTGTTCGTGGCCCGAGAGAGCACGGCAGCGTGAAGCACCGAGGAGCCATTCTACGTCCCACGTGAGACATTTTACCACTTGAGGTGGAGAATGATTGACCGGCAACAGCATCGAGACGTTGGCGCCAGCGCGCACGAGCAGCGACGTTGCTTCGACGTGGTTGTTGGCGACTGTCATCGCAAGCGCCGTGTCGCCGTCCTACAGCATCCATCTCAGTACTACAGTCGTAGCCTGTAACTAATCAACGGACCTCGTTGATAGCGTCGATATCGGTACTCGGACTGGCCAGTAGCATGCCCAGCAGCGCCAACGACCCGCTTTTCGCAGCGATGTGCAGTGGCGACGGCCCACTCTACTTGTGCAGAATGACGATTG